GTTCCCCCTTCCGGTGTCAACATCGTCGGCGGAAAATGGATCTTCCGAGTCAAACAACTCCCAGGCGAAGCTCCACTGTTCAAGGCACGATACGTGGCGAAGGGTTTCACCCAGAAGGAGTATCTCGACTTCTTCGAAACATTCTCGCCCACGGCCAAGCTCCCGACTGTGCGCGCTCTTCTTGATATAGCCGCTCGCGGCAACTTCGAGATCAAGTCCATGGACGCCTCCTCCGCCTTTCTCCAAGGCCAGCTCAAGGAGGATGTTCACATGGAACGCCCACCGGGGTTTCCTGGCACTTACCCTGCCAACATAGTGTGGAAGCTGAAGCGCCCAGTGTATGGCCTCAAGCAGGCTCCTCGTGAGTGGCACAACAAGGTGAAGGAAGTCCTCCTCGCACTTGACTTCCATCCCTCTGCCTCAGATTCCAGTCTCTTTGTTCGTCACTCCTCCGAGCCCTTCTACATCCTCGTCTACGTCGACGACTTCATTCTAGCCGCTAGAGATCCAGCCGACATGGCAGCTGTCCAGTCTGCTCTCAGCTCCGCCCTTCTCATGAAGGATCTTGGTGACCTCAAGAACTACCTAGGGATGGAGATCACTCGTGACCGCCAGGCTTGCACGATCACCCTCTCCCAGGAGTCCTACATCGACAACCTTCTCAAGCGGTTCGACATGGACTCCAGTAACTCTGTCTCCACTCCACTCCCACTACAGCATCAGCTCACGGCCCCTCCAATTCCTTCTCCTGACGCCTGCAAGGACCCGTACCCTGAGCTAGTCGGTTCACTCATGTATGCCATGATGTGCACTCGACCAGACTTGGCTTACCCGGTTAGTGTCCTCTCTCGGTACGTCTCCCCCGGACGCTACACTGCCTCGCATTGGTCTGCAGCCAAGAGGGTCCTCCGCTATCTACAAGCCACCAAGTCTCACATCCTCACTCTTGGTGGTACCTCTCCAGTCAAGCTCGAGGGATACACAGACTCCTCATGGGCCGATGACCAGACTGACAGACGCTCCTCCCAAGGGTACTGCTTTACCCTTGGTAGCGGAGTCATCAGCTGGCGCTCCACTCGGTCCTCTGCAATCTCCCTGTCGTCCTGCGAGGCCGAGCTCTATGCGGGCACAATGGCTGCTCAAGAGGCACGCTGGCTCTCCTTTCTCCTCGCTGAGTTAGGCTACCCCCAGCAATCGCCGACCCTGTGGTGTGACAACCAGAGTGCCATTCACCTCACCAAGGATCCTGTGTTCCACTCTCGCACCAAGCACATCGAACTTCATCATTTCTTCATCCGAGATCTTGTTCAGAGTGACCAGCTGACGGTACGGTACATCGCCTCAGATTGCAACCTCGCCGACCTCTTTACCAAGGCTCTCGGCAAGGCTGACCACCATCGCCTTCTCCGTTCCATGGGGCTATGTGCTCCTTGACCGGGTTTGCAGTCTATGGGGGTGTGTTAGAAATAGACTGCAAATACCACTTTTGTATTTGTACTTTTATATCCTAGTTTAGGTTATGAATGCTCTAGTGGGTTGGGGTGTACTCACAAATCCCAACCTCACCCAATTGTGATCCCCCCAATCTCCAATTACCCAATTGGAGATTTCGGAGATCCCAATGGGGATTCCCTCCAATTCCCCCTTCATCCATTCACTCTCACCTTGCCATGTACTTGGGCTCCTTACCTAATCAATCATTTCAACTCTATTTCTTACAGAGGTCTCCCAGTTTCCCCACCCCTGTTCCTTGCTCGCTCCCCCCGGGTAGCCCTTGCTCCCCTCCCGCCTCGTCCTGCCCCGTCTGGTGTCTCTCACGTCACTCCCTTCCCTTCGTTGTCCTCGTTGAGGAGTCTGCTGACTCTGGTGGTCTCCCCGGCCTACCCTTGCCGCGTCCCCCTTCCCCGGTATCTCCACCTCCGCTGTCGCAGTCGCCGCCGCCGCCGCTGCCGCGCTTGGCCTCTGGGGGTGCTGGCGTTGAGGAGTGTGTTCGTCCTGCGGCTCCCGGCGTGGTCTGTCCCGGCGGGCCTGGGGGTGCCGCTGGTGCTGGAGGGAGGTCTCGCTCTGGGGGTGTTGTTTCTGGGGGTGCTGTCGTTGAGTGTTCTCCAGGCGGTCGTCGTGCCTCTGCCGGTCCGGAGGTCGAGCACCAGCCGCTGCAGCAGCCGCCGCAGCCATCGCTGCCGGTCTCCGCTCTTCGCCTGCTCGGCCTTCCCTCCCCTGACCGCTCGCCGGTGTCTCCCCCGCCACCTCCTCGCCTTCCTGTATACGGCCATGTGTTCCTGCCACCTGACTCGTCTCCGGCTTGTCTTCCTCCTTGTTCCCCTCTTGTGTCCCCTCCGCTGTGTTTTGACCCTACACCTCCGTCCCACGTTTGGTCTCGCCGTCCCTTTCGTGCTCGTCCCGTGACTCCTGTCCTGCACTCCCACCCTATGTTGCTCCGTTCCCACTCGTCTCGTCCTCCCCTCCTCCCGTCGCCTCCTCCATCGTCGCTTGTTGTTGCCCCTCCCCCGCTGTCTAACTACCTCCGTGCCGCTCGTCCCCTTGTACCTCGGGTTCTTGCCTCTCTTGTTACAGACCCGTCTGTTCCTGTCTCGTGCCTTGACGCGCTTGTCGCTGCTGTCGCTCACTTCGCCTCTACCCGCCGCCTTGACTATGCTACCGCTCTGGTCTCTGACCCTGCCCGTCCTCCGTTCGTCGGGGGTGCACCTGCCCTTGGCAGTGACGTCCTAGAGGACAGGCAGTACGAGCTTGCTTTCCTTTTCGAGGCCGCTCCCCATATCTGCTCCATGTTCCTAGTCCCAGAGGGTGACCCAGACGCCTTTGACATCCCGACCCCTCGCACCTACGCTGAGGCCACCTCGGGACCCTGGGCCTCTCAGTGGATAGCTGCCATGGAGCAGGAGATGGCATCTTGGAGGTCCACCGGCACTTACATTGACGCAGTCCCCCCTCCTGGGGTGAACGTAGTCGATGGTCGGTGGCTCTTCAAGGTGAAGCGCCCCCCTGGAGAGCCGTCTGTCTTCAAGGCGCGCTACGTGGCTAGAGGCTTCAGCCAGCGTGAGGGGGTGGACTTCTTCCAGACCTTCGCTCCGACCTCGAAGATGACTACTCTTCGGGCGCTGCTACACATAGCAGCACAGCGCCACTACGAGCTTCACTTTCTCGACTTCTCTACTGCCTTTCTTCAAGGCAGCCTACACGAGCAGGTCTACGTGCGTCGACCACAGGGCTTCACTGTTACCTTCCCCCCTGGGACCCAGTGGCTTCTCAGGCGCCCAGTCTACGGCCTGCGCCAGGCTCCCCGCGAGTGGCACGACACGCTGCGTGCCACGCTAGCAGACCTACAGTTCTTTCCGTCCTTTGCTGACCCCTCGCTTTTTGTGCGTTCCGACCAGACTCCGTTCTATATCATTGTCTACGTAGACGACGTGGTCTTCGCTTTTGCCGACATGGACGCACTGGCCTCCGTGAAGGCCGAGCTGCTGAAGAGACATACCTGCACTGACCTTGGAGAGTTGCGTCGCTATCTTGGCCTGCAGATCTCCAGGGACAGAGCAGCACGCACTATCACTCTGACACATTCACACTTGGTGCGTCAGGTCCTTGAGAGGTTCGATCTTCAGTTCTCCTCCGCACAGCCCACACCTCTACCTGTAGACCATGGGCTCTCCGCTCCCGTTCCTGAGGAGCCAGTAGAGCCCAGCAGCCCCTACGCAGAGCTGGTGGATTGCCTCATGTACCTGGTGACTTGCACTCGCCCAGATCTCGCATACCCTCTCAGCATCTTGGCTCGCTTTGTGGCCACTTGCAGACACCGACCACTGCACTGGTCGGCCGCTAAGAGGGTTTTGCCATATCTAGAAAGTACATTGGGCATGGGGTTAGTGCGTTTAAGATGCAGGCCAGTGGTCATCACTGGGCACACAGACGCTTCTTGGGCAGACGACGCTGAGACTCTCAGGTCGTCTCAGGGCTACTGTTTTAGCCTTGGTTCGGGTGCTATCTCTTGGAGATCCACTCACTCGTCGTCTGTTGCTCAGTCCAGCTGTGAGGCTGAGATCTACGCCGGTGCCATGGCGGCACAGGAGCTCCGCTGGCTGACCTTCTTGCTCACTGACCTAGGTGAGCGGCCTAGCTCTGCCCCGGTCCTGTACGCGGACAACAGGGCCATGATTCTCCTGTGTTAGGAGCCTCGACTTGAGGGCAGAGCGAAGCATATCCAGCTGCGATACTTCCTCTTGCGCGAGCTATAGCAGCGTCGCCAGACCCGCGTAGTTCACTTGGCCTCAGGTGCCAACACAGCTGATATCTTTACTAAGGCGCTTGCGCCTAGAGATCATCAGCGGCACTGTGTACAGCTTGGTCTTGTTCCTGTAGCTTCTCACTCGTTAGGACCCTGATTGTGTACTCTCTATTATATATACCTGTCTGACTGGCCTTGTGACCTTACCTCCAGTGGCTGGACTAGTAGTGCCGCCCTGGCTTGCTTTTGTCTTATTGGTACTCTTGCTGACTGGTCTCCGGACCCCTGCCTCAGTGGTTGGACTAGTAGTGCCACCTTGAGCTATATGCTTCTTGCTTAGCACCACCCGTTCTCTAGCCTAGGGGGTGTGTCAACTTATACATATGCTGTATGTAGAAGTTATAGGGTAGCCTAGGTGTGTGCTTCTAGTGAGTACAACCGCAACAGGTATAGATTCTATGTTTCCTCTTCTAGTAAATTATTCTCGTGTTCTAACATTTATGACTCATTCAGCCTTCGAAAAAATTTACCCCGAAAAAAACTGCAGCTTCCAAAACCCGACCCTGAAATACTGGGGCTCTTGACGGGGGCACCCTGAGCCAACAGCCCCTCAAAATTCAATATGAAGCCCTGATCATAACACTCCATAAACAAGCGAGTGCCGCTAAATGTTTTAGATATGGTGTTACACGGAAGTCGAGTATACTTGAGGCGACCGAACATCTCCACTCACTCACTCCACTCCTCAAACCCATGACCGTTGCTACACTTCACCTAACCTAAACCCGATACCATTGTTCGGAGCCACGTCAGTAAACTAGTACAGTAGGAAGGTCATAGCAGATAGACCTAACAGAGCCACGTCATCGTAGTAGAAGGAAGTCATAGCAGATAGAGCTAACAGAGAGTCGTTTTTCGTCTCAATCGGTAGTAACCGCCACACTCACCGCGCGGCTTCTCGCAATCCCTTATTCTTTCGCGCCACCAGGTCACGACTCCTGAAACATATCCGTGCAGTAGGGAAACGAGATAGACGGCTCAGTCTAGCGTGCGCTGCATTCCCTTGAGCCCGCTACCTCTCTGTTTCGTCCTCGCACTCATTGTTCAGCTCACTTTAGTCCTCGCATTGTACTTCAAGCCGCCGGCAGTGCCGCCTCCGCGCGTAGGCTACCTGCGCAGCGCAGCATGTTTCCCGGCGCCGCAGATGCCGGCGCGGCATCGACGCTCGTTCCGACGCGCTTCGTGTGGCCGCATGGGGGGCGGCACGTCCATCTCTGCGGCTCGTTCACGCGGTACGTCGATTATTAGTCCAGAACCGAGTGGTGACGACGCATTACGGCCGTTACGGTGACGAAGCGTAATGGCGACGAGGTGCAAGCAGTCGATGCGTTTAAGTAACGAAACGTCAAGACAGAGGGAGGAATACGAGTAACGAAAGTGCACCAGGTAACGAAACGCCGTTACTTTCCGGTGGGTCCTGTTCGAAGTAGCATCAGGCCAACGATCCGAGTGCCAGTCTTGTGACGTCTACCTGTGGAATGTCCTTAGAATCTCCTTGGATTGACGACTTACAGAGGAGCTTGTGCGGTGATAGGTCAAGTGGTGCGGACCTGCAGATCCTGTCGTGCCCATTCTCTAGGTTAGCACCTGCAATGGGCCGTCGTGACTCCACGTACCTCCCTTCTCGTCGTTTAATATGTTTCCTCTGGTTAAGATTGTCAGCCCGTGGGCAGCGCGAACCTCCACCACCTGGTCAGGCCTAGGAGTAGATGAAGGCAGACGGCTAGGTTAACTTCAAGTTTTTAAAAACCTCCCTGAATTGCGGCATCGGCTAGTCTACCTCCGAGCCGCACTAGCTGCATCCTTCGCTGCTCTTTCCGTACGGAATAAAAACTGCCGCTTAGGGCATATCAGAGGCGTAAGAGCACCTCATTGCGGCCAATAACTTGCAGCGTTCCTTCCATCTCCCTCTAACGCGTACGTACGGCGAACGCGACCAGCTCGAATGCCAAATAACCAGGAATCAACGTGATCATAAAACATTTTCACCCACACTGACCGCACTCCGCTTGACCTGCCCGGCGGTCTGGTTCAAACCGTCACGGCTCAGACCAGCTCGGGGCCCCGCAGTGAGCTGAAACAGTGGGACCAGTGGGAGGTCCGCCACGTGTGTGCCTGCCAGTCGTGTCTGGTGGGGACGCGCTGGGCCGAACTTCCCTGTGTCGCAGCAACCCTGTGCAATCTCTGCTCGACTCCTCTACCCTCCTCCGCTCCTCTCTTCCTCCAGTCCCTCTCCCCCTCTCCCCCTCTCCCCCCTCTCCCCCTCTCCCCCCTCTCCCCCTCTCCCCCTCTCCCCCCTCTCCCCCCTCTCCCCCTCTCCCCCCTCTCCCCCTCTCCCCCCTCTCCCCCTCTCCCCCCTCTCCCCCTCTCCCCCCTCTCCCCCCTCTCCCCCCTCTCCCCCCTCTCCCCCTCTCCCCCCTCTCCCCCCTCTCCCCCTCTCCCCCCTCTCCCCCCTCTCCCCCTCTCCCCCTCTCCCCCCCTCTCCCCCCTCTCCCCCCTCTCCCCCCTTTCCCCCCTCTCTCCCCCTCTCCCCCCTCCCCCCTCTCCCCCCTCTCCCCCCTCTCCCCCCTCTCCCCCCTCTCCCCCCTCTCCCCCCTTTCCCCCCTCTCTCCCCTTTCTCCCCCCTCTCCCCCTCTCCCCCTCTCCCCCTCTCCCCCCTCTCCCCCCTCTCCCCCCTTTCCCCCCTCTCTCCCCTTTCTCCCCCCTCCCCCCTCTCCCCCCTCTCCCCCCTCTCCCCCCTTTCCCCCCTCTCTCCCCTTTCTCCCCCCTCTCCCCCTCTCCCCCCTCTCCCCCCCTCCCATCCCTGTCTCCTCCCCCGCGCCGACTGCTCGTCCCAACGCATGCACGGTGTGTCGATGTTGCACGGTGGCTGCTGCTGCAGGTGGCAGGAGACCCTACCCATGGCGCCGGTGGAGGGCTCTAGCTCCATCTATGCCGTCGTCTGGAACTTGCCTCCCGGTTACCACCAGGTAACTTGCCTTCTAGCTACCACTAGGTAACTTGCCTTCCGGTTACCACCAGGCAACGGGCTTTCTGGTTACCAACTTACCACCAGGTAACGTGTTTTTTTGTTACCAACTTACCACCAGGTAACGTGTTTTTTTGTTAACTACTTACCACCAGGTAACGTGTTTTTTTGTTACCAACTTATCACCAGGTAACGTGTTTTTTTGTTACCAACGTACCACCAGGTAGCGTATTTTTTTATTAACAACTTACCGCCAGGTAACGTGCTTATGGTTACTACCAGCTAACTTGCCTTGAGGTTATCTCCAGGTGAGATGCCTTGCCTCGTCCTCACAGTCATCTCCCCCCTCGTTCCCCTCCCACCCTCCGCCAGTACAAGTTCATTGTGGATGGCGAGTGGCGCCACGACGAATCTCAGCCATTCATGCCAGATCCCCTGGGCAACGTCAACAACTGGCTGCTCGTGCGGGACTCCGACCCCAACGCCCACCCGCCCTCCGCTGCTGCTGCTGCCGCCGCCTCCCCTGCTGCCACCGGCCCATCCGGATTGACCGGAGCTGCCCCGAGCCTGCAAGAACGTGGGGGGATAGGGGAAGGGGGGGTGGGTGCGGGAGGGGGAGGCGGGGGAGGGGGAGCGGGGGGAGGTGGCGGGGGAGGTGGAGGGGGAGGAGGGGGGTTGTGGGTGGGGTGGGGTTTGGGATAGGGGTGGGTGCGCATATGGATGTGGACGGGGTTGAGGTGACAACGACACACCCACAGCACCATCACTTACCGGGGGCAGGGCACCAGCACCACCACCACCACGCAGGGGCAGGGGGAGGAGGGGCAGGGGGAGGGGGGCACTCACACCAGCAAGCACACTCGCACACACACTCCCACCATGGCATTGGGCTCGGGCCCAGTGTGGTAACGTCACAGCACACCCCCGCACACATAGACGGGCACGGTCACACGGCCGCACACGTGGCAGTGGCCAGTCAGCAAACTGTCACGCAGGCATCGCAGCAGCAGGGGGGCGCGGGGGGAGGCGTGGTGGGGGGGCTAGTGGGGGGGAACCAGGGAGAATGGTGACTGGCGCAATGGTAGCGGGGGGGGGTGTAGCAGGGGGGGTTCCAGGGGCGGGGGCGGGGCGGCGGGGGGGTTGGGGGGAGCGGGGTTGGTGTTGGCGGATTCAATGGGGGCGGTGTCAGCAGCAGATGCGGAGTCGTCCCGGCAGCGATTTGTGGACTTCCTGCAGAGGCACAAGGCGTACGAGCTGCTGCCGGAGTCAGGCAAGGTGCGGGTCAATTTGCGCATTTATTTCCCCCCCTCCTCTATTTCCGTTTATTATTTATATGACTGCTTTAAGACGGCTGAGCCAGCCACAGCAATGTTGAAGGGGATGGGTGGGCGATTGGCAATGCCTTTTACTAGCGACGGAGGAATCGGCATTTGGCGTTGCGTAGCATATGGCGTGTTGATTCTTCTCACTGCCTTTTCTCTTTCCCTGCAATGTTATGCGTCTTCTTCTTATCTGTCCTCTACCTCCCCCTTCTGCCATTGTGCTTCCTGCCATGTGCACCCCTGCCATGGCACCAGGTGGTGGCACTGGATGTGGCTCTGCCAGTGAAGCAGGCCTTCCACGCCCTCTACGAACAGGTGCGTCTGCCCTCATCCCCTCCCATGCCCATCCCCACCTCGGACCTCGACCATTCGATTCTTTGTGTGCATCCATCTTTAGCCCATGCGATCTCCCTCCCGTACATGCCTCCTGTAACCATTCATGCCAGAACCCTGCTTGCCATGCCATGCCCTGCCATGCCAATCCCAACATTCCCACACCTGCCTTCCCACAATGAAACCCGTCTTCAACCATTCCCAGTCCCTTCTTCCGTGCCCTCCCGTCCCTCCCATCCCTCCCAACCCTACCACCCCTCTCACTACTCCCACCCCTCCCACTCCTCCAACCCTCCCGCTCCCTCCATCCCTCTCCTCCCTCCTTCGCCCTCCTGGCCCCTGTGCTGGCGCATGCAGGGCGTGCCAGCAGCGCCGCTGTGGGATTCAGAGAGGCAGGAGTTCGTGGGCATGCTGAGCGCGTCCGACTTCATCTCCATCCTCACTCAGGTGCCCTGCTCCTGCTCCTGCTCCTGCTTCTGCTCTTCTCTGCTCTCTCTGCTCTCTCTGCTCTGCTCTACCACTGCTCTAAAGCAACCTGCTGTCTGCTGTGTGCCGTGCGCGTGCTTACATGACATGGCAGCAGCATTTCACCCCATGGGCCGCCCATGCAGTGTTGTGCAGATGCTGTGGGCAGGACGGAATCGTCCTGTGTGCGGATGCCGTTTGTTCTCCCACGGAAGGCAGTTGCTTCCATCTGCCGTTGCCCCACCATGCTCTGCTCCCCACCCACCCTGCCCATCCACCGGCCCATCCATCCACCTGCCCATCCATCCACCTGCCCATCCATCCACCTGCCCATCCATCCACCTGCCCATCCATCCACCTGCCCATCCATCCACCTGCCCATCTCATCCTTTCTGTCCGCACCCACATCGTCTCAAACTTCCGCTGCACACCTCCTTCCCTTCCCCACCCTTGCTCTTTCTCCCCGCCTCCTCTCCCTTCTGTCCCCCCCCCTCCCTCCTCCGCCCCCTCTTCCCCCCCCACAGCTGCACTGCAACAGCGCGGCGCTGAGCGAGGAGGAGCTGGAGACGCACACCATTGCGGCGTGGAAGGAGGAGAAGCTCGCCCTCGCCACGCCCCTCGACGCCCCCCACACGCCCGCACGCCGCCCCCTTATCTATGTGCGCCGTGCCGTGCCGTGGTTGCTGCCATGCCTGCTGTCTTGCGTGCCTTTGATGCTTCTGGTTCTAGTTTGCAGTGTGTTGTCGTGCATGCAGTGTGCTGCCACCCCCCTCGCCCCCCTCCGTTCCCCCTCTCTGACCCCGCAACCGCTCCTCTTACCCCGCAACTCCTCATACCCCTCAAACCCCTCCCTTACCCAGGTTGGTCCTGACGACACGCTGAGGAAGGTAGCTGAGGTGCTTCTAACGAGGGGTCTCGCCATGGTCCCTGTGCTCTTCTACCCCGAGGCCCGCACCTCCTCCTCTGCTGCGGCTGCCGCCAATGCTGCCAATGCTGCAGCCACATCTGTAGCAGAGGCGCCGCCACCACCGCAGCTGCTGCACCTGGCGTCGCTGGCAGGCATCCTCAAATGTACCTCCAACTCATTCCCTGTCCACCCCTGAGTTTTTCAGCCTGTTCCCTGCCATTTGTTTTGTTTTGTTTTTTTTCCGTTTCGTTTCTGCTCCCTTACTCTGTTCCTGCCCGTTTCTCCTGGTTTCTGCCTGTTTTATAGCTTCCCGTGCCCTTCCATCTGCGAGAACCTGAATACCTTGATCATGCCTTAATGCTTGATTCTTCCACTCCAGCCTCTAAATTAGTCCGGGTTTGTGCCTGCGAACAACAAGCATTTTTCTTTGCATTCATGTCACACTCACAGTCTCCCTTTCTGCCTATCAGCGCTTCATCCCCGCCCAATCCCTTCCCATCCCCCCTTCCCGGCCTTCATCTGTCTCTCTACCTGTCCCCCTGCCCCCCTGGCCCCTGCCGCCCTCTCTCTCGCTCCAGGCGTGGCCAAGCACTTCCGCCACGTGGCGGGTTCCCTGCCGCTGCTTTCGCAGCCGCTGGGCGCGCTTCCCATTGGCACGTGGGCGGCTGAGAGCGGGCGCCCCAACACGCGCCCCATTGTCGTGCTGCAGACGTCTATGTCACTCTTTGCTGCACTCTCGCTGCTGCTGCAAGGTGCCTTCCTGCCTGCTTATTGCTGCTGCTGCTGCTGCTGCCTGGCCTTGCTGCTTTCTCTCGTTCATTTGGAGCACAGTTGACATTCACAATCACATCATATTGCTCCCGCCTCCCCCTCCCCTGACCCTCCTCTCCTCTCTTCAATCTTCCCACCTCTACTCTCTTCTCGTCTCCTCTCGTCTCGTCTCTCCCCTCATTTCCTCTCCCTATCCCCCTCACATCAGCGGGCGTGTCGTCTCTCCCTGTGGTGGACGAGAGTGGGGCTCTCATCGACATCTACGCTCGAAGGTACTCACCCCCCCCACCGCCTCCCACTTACCGCAGCGCCTCCTCCCTGACATGCCCACCCCACCTCCTCCCCATACATGCCCACCCCACCTCCTCCCCCACGTACCCACCTTTCTTTCTGCCGTCTCATTGACATCTGTGCCGAAACGTGCCCGCCCCACCTCCTCATCCCATCTCCTGCTGCCGTTCTATGGAGCTGGAATGCCATCCCTCCGTGTGCCATTCCTCTTTCTCCCACCATCTCCACTATGTCAAATGCACCTCCTGTGCCTTACACCATGTCCTCCATTGCTCCCTTCGTAAACCCTGAATTCTCTCAGGTGTTTGTCGTTCCATGTTGTTCTCCTCCTGCGTTCTTACCCGTTTTCTCTCTTTCCTGCAATAACTTGCCTTTGATTCGGCCCCTTCCACCTGTCCCACCGTGCATGTGTGTGTGTGGCCACAGTGACATCACGACGCTAGCCAAGGACCATGTGTATGCGCGGCTCAACATTGACGAGTTCACTGTGGGCCAGGTCCGTGCGTGCTTGCTTGCTGCGTAATTTAATTGCTCCTCCCTGCTTTTCCCTCTTCTTCTTTTTTTCACCTCCCCCCCAACCTCCCCCCGACATCCACTCTCCCCCAACGTCTACTTTCCCCCGACTTCCACGACCCCCTGACCTCCCCCCAACTTCTACTCCATTCCAACTTCCTCTTCCCCCAACCTCCGTTCCCCCCCAACCTCTACTGCTCTCCTTCCCCTTGCCCAAGACAGGCCCTGCAGTATCGGCAGGACGCGGGGGCGGTGGGGGCGGCAGCAGCGGGCGGCACGCGGTGTCACATGTGCCTGCAGTCAGACAGCCTGCGAGTGGTGGTGGAGCGACTCGCCATGCCAGGTGGGGTCATAAGTGGATGAAGGGGGGGGTGATGGGTGGGGTGATGGGTGGGGTGATGGGTGGATGATGGGTGGGGTGATGGGCGGATGATGGGTGGATGATGGGTGGATGATGGATGGGGTGATGGGTGGGGTGATGGGTGGATGATGGGTGGATAATGGGTGGATGATGGGGATGATGGGATGGGAGATATGCTGTGTGGGATGCTTGTCATGCTGGGCTAGTAGTAGCAATGTACAGCGCCTCTCGTTTGCGGCCTCTTGTCCGTGCCATGCCGCCTATCATTGCATGCACAGCCCACAATTCCTTCTTTCCTCCGTCCCTCTCACCGCGCGCAGGGGTGCGCCGGCTGGTGTGTGTGGAGGCTGGCAGCAGGAGAATCCAAGGAATCGTCTCCCTCAGCGACCTCTTCCACTTCCTCCTCTCTTGACCCTCTCCTCACTCCACCCTCCCTGCTTCACACACCACGTTCCACCCTCCTCCTTCCATGCTCGCCGTCCGCCCTCCTCCCACACTTCACACTCCGCACTCCACACCCGCTCCATTCTCAGCACGCAACCCACCGCACCACCATCACTGTTGGAGTAGACGCCCACTTCAACAATCACAACACAATACACAACCCGCTCCTTCCTGCTCCAACTTCCCTTCGCTCGCACCTACCTACTCCATGCGCCAGCCACACCCATCCATCGCCACACCCATGCATCGTCATCGTCGTGCTTTCCTCCGGCCATCGCACTGCGTCTGCGCCATGCCACTACATCGCACTGCACCTCTCTCCCCGCCAATCTCCATCCAATTCCAGTTGCTCCTGCCATAGCTCTTCCCCCTCTACCACACTGCTCCTCCTCACCAGTCTCGCCCACCCACCCAGTCCCTCGTTGCACTCTTTTGTGCTCTTGCCTCATCCCCGGGCTCGTGCCCTCTACCGTATGTCTGCCACAAGTGACGTTTTTAGCCATGCTTTCGGCCCATCCCATCCCAACCTGTGCCCACCTGTCCCTTCGATTGTCACTCCCAGCCAGCCACCCAGCTGCTCTTGCCCCTTTCCTCTCTCGCACTTGCCCCACAACCACTTATCGTCTGCTGCGCACACGGCCACTGCCATTGCCATTGCCATACCCATTGCCTTTGCCACACAGCTGGTGCTTCCAGCCGGCTTGCTCTAGTCACATTTCCTTTAATAGGCTAGCCTGCATTGGAGAAGCAATCTAGCGTTTGTTATCTTTTGAATATCTTCTGGCAACGGCATTCCAGGCTTGAAATGTTCGGGTATATCACAGGCAGGGCTTCAGATTGGTTTTAGGGGGTTTGATTACTCGGGGTCGCCCATGTGAGAAACCTGTTTTTCAGGGTCGGGTTTTGGGAGTGGCATGTTTTGTCAGGCCAAAAGAATATTACTAATCAGACCTGCACTTTCTTAATTCCTGATCCTTGTTCCTGATTTTGGCACACCAGTCACGCCCCTGAGGGCGTGCCCTAATAGCGTGTTCCTACGAGCCTCTTCCCTCGGAACCTCTTCCCAGACTCGCGAGCTACAGCGTCGCGAATTTTGACGTGAAATATTGAGAAAGCTTGCTTTCTTGTCCTTTGCAATAGGCATCGTTCTCATTTCAAGTGGGCTAGGTACAATAGTCTCTTACTAGCTTATAAGAATCTAAACATACACACATCATGATCCTAGTTGTGCGCTCCCGTTCAAGTGACCGGCTGGCAATTGGACATGCACGGTTGTCCAGGGGGGGGTGGGTGGGAAAGTGGACTGAGCCGTTTGAAAAATGAGAGACGTGGGTGGAGGTAATTGAGCTCCAACCCACGTATATGTAGTTGGAGAAGGGCGAGTAGCGCGCTTCGACGATGCCCAACGCTTCAGTACAATCAGCTTCGCTTTCACAATACATTTTTTTTGAAAAACACTGCGTGTGTTAAAAAATTATAATATTGAGAAAGCTTGCTTTCTTGTCCTTTGCAATAGGCATCGTTCTCATTTCAAGTGGGGTCGTTGAGACATGTGTAGTGGGGGCTTGCGGTGGCGGAGAAGTGCCTCGGCGTGTTGTGCAGAGGATGGTGCCGCCGCCGGGTCTTGCTGGCGAAGAGACGCGCCAACCAGATGATCGGTCGCGTGCGTGACGTACATCTCTTTCGTGGTTTCACTACGCCAACGGCCCAGGCGTTTGAAGATCCTGTCAGGAACCCCGGATTTGGCAGCAACTGTGGCCGCGCCTTTCCGAAAGGAGTGGGTGCCTAGGTGCTCTTCTCCCAAACCGATTTTTGCGAAGGCTTCCTTGCACCAGTTGCGGATTGTGGTGTATGAGGGCGGTCTGGCTGTGCCGTGGCTCGGTAGGTGGGGTCCGAAGACCCGGATGACCGGCCTAAAGGACTGGGGGCTGTATCCTGCGAGTTGGATGAGCCTCTGGGTGCCCTGGACCGGACAAAAGGGTCCGGGGCTTGCCGCGATAGGGATCCATGTGTTCAAATTATTTAAGTTATAATTTAATATAGGCTTGGTAGGTTGTTACTGAACCTTTCTGTAGAGGGTACAAACCCCTCCTTGTACTCCCCTCTCTTCCTAATCCAACTCTCTTCTCTCTCGACACTCTCGTCCAGCTCCTAGCTAAACCCCACCGCCACATTCATGGCGGCCTTGTTCCTGCCTAGTATCCTAGCCTAGAGCTACTTAACATGGTATCAGAGCAGGCCGTTTCCGGTCCTGCCTTCCACGCTTTCGCCTCGTCCTTGTCTTACGTTTCACTTCGTACCGTGCCGCTGATGGCGGCCTTTCGTTTTCCTGCCGCCGTGGCGGCCTTGCCTTTCCGTGCCGCCGTGGCGACTTCTCTGAGATGCTGCGGCGGCTTAGTCGAGCTACAGTCGCACCTCCGCCTCGCCGCCGCGGCATCGACGTCGCGTTGTGGCGGCGTCTTTTGGCTGCCGTGGCGGCGTTATCGGGCGACAGCCGGCCGCGCATCCGTCGTTTGGCTGCCGTGGCGGCGTCATCGGGCGACAGCCGGCCGCGCATCGGCAATGGTGCCGCCGGACCTGCCGCCCGCTCTGCAGCCGCCGGCGTGATTCTGGACTACGCCCCGCGCCCCTCTCCCCTCCCCCCCCCCCCCCCCTCCCCCCTCCTTCCCCTGCTTCCCCCCCCTTCCTTGCTGCAGCCAACGACTGCCTCATGCGGGCCCTCCCCACCGCCAAGGTGACTGGACATGCCGCCGAGAGGGCGGGGGCCGCTGCACCAGCCTCTGACGTTCATGCCGCCACTGCCGCCGCTGTTGCCGCGGGCCGGGCGCCGCCACACGCCTCTGCCGCCGCCGCTGTCGTCACTGTCGCTGCTGCCACCATTGCCGTCCCAAGGGCCGTGGGAGCTGCCCACTTCCGGAGTCGTTGCGGCTCTTGCTGGACATGGGGGTGCTGGGCTAGGGGGTGTGGGTGTGGGTGTGGGTGTGGGTGTGGGTGTGGGGGTGTGAGTGGGCTTGACACTACCAAGCCTACGGGGTGTGTTCAAATTATTTAAGTTATAATTTAATATAGGCTTGGTAGGTTGTTACTAAACCTTTTTGTAGGGGGTACAAACCCCTCCTTGTACTCCCCTCTCTTCCTAATCCAACTCTTTTCTCTCTCGACACTCTCGTCCAGCTCCTAGCTAAACCCCACCGCCACATTCATGGTGGCCTTGTTCCTGCCTAGTATCCTAGCCTAGAGCTACTTAAACACCATGTGCCTTGGCCGGCTTCGTCGGTTTTTGAGTGGGGGATGAGTAGCCACATCGCTTCATCTTTAAATTGGATGTCCTGCCATTGGATGGCCACCAGGTCCGAGTAGCGCAAAAAACCGGCGTACATGAGAATCGGGATCAATCCTTTTTGGAACACGGCTGGGTTGTTTGACTGTAGGAAGGAGGCTGCCATATCGTGGACCTGATGGAGTGAGACTGGCTCTTTAATCCTGTTAGGATGCGGGCAGTGTCGCTTCGCGAAGTCGCGCACTTGGGAGGTGAAAGGGCCGGTGGTTGGGCATGTTGAGCCTGTCATCCTGTAGGCAAAGCTCACGGCGGAGCATGTGAGCTGAACCACCGACAAGGAGGCCTTGCGTTGGATGACATACACCAGGTAGAGCGCGAGGGTCATGTCCGATGCCGGCAAGAACGTTAGGTTGACCTTCGCGCAGAACGCGCGGAACTTCACCCAGTAAGGCTCGTATGTTCGGATGGTCGAGTCGGCACGAGAGCGGGCGAGCATGGAAAGCAGGTCGTGTTGGAGCTTTGGAAGCAGATCTGGGGACATGCAGAGGAGTCTAGTTAGTCAAATATCACGCGGAGTGCGACGATAGTGCTGTTGGGTAATCCTGTGCCTGAGAATGCTTGACTGTGTATGCCGAATGTAAGACACTGGCTGCCGTGTGTAAGAGGGATATGTGCTTGGATGTGTGGGTCCCACGATGGAGGGGAGGGCTGGAGGAGCGGCCACCAGCTTGCACCAGGCCAGTGTGGGACTATGAGGGTGAGAGATGCGTTCGTGCGTTGTGCGTGATGGAGTACTGCGGGGATGAGTTGGGGCGGTGGGAATGCAAAGTTGTTCTCAGCCGTCCAGGCAGGTGAGAAGGCGTCGGCTGCTATGGCATCGGAGTGGGGGACCTTAGAGCAGAAACGCGGCAAGTGTGCATTTTGGGGGTTGGCGAATAGGTCAATGGAGTGGGGCCCCCAGCGACGCTCGAGGAGGCGAAACCATGGGAGCTTCAACGAGTAGTCATCGTGGTCGACTAGCTTGGAGAGCTCGTCTGCGCGACCATTCACATCGCGTGGGATCCATTCGATGATTAGCCGAATCTCTAAATCCATGCATTTTTGGATGATGCCTTTGCACGTGGTGGTGAGGTCGGGACTTTGGGAACCTCCTTTGCGAAGGATGAAGAACACGCCCTGGTTGTCCGCCCGCACTAGCACGTGTTTGTTCCGGATTCTAGACGCGTACGTCTGTAGCGCCCATAGCACGCCGGCGAGCTCTCTTTGTGTGCTGGAGGTTGGATGAAGGGCTTTGGGCATTGCTGCGCTGGCCTCTGTCGCGGCTCCAGGGAATGTGTTCAGCGTGGCACCCCAGCTGTGGGCACTTGCGTCTACGTGGATGACTGCATCGTAGCTGTGCCGCACATGGAACGGGGCACCATTGAAAAGGTCGAACTCTTGGATCCAGAATCTCAGCTCTTCGATGGCGGGTGGGGAGAGGAGGTCCATGCTGGTCCATGTCGGTGCGTCGTTGATTGTTTCTAGCATGGCGTGGCTGAATGCTCGGGTAGTGGTTCCGAGTGCGACAGCCATCGATGCCAGCATGCCTGTAACTCAGGCCAGTTGCCGGACTGGGACTTTCCGCTGGGCTGAGCTTGCGCGCAATAGGGCATGGAGGATGGCATTGAGTGTGGCTCACCGCTCCTTGCCGATGGAGAACCGGCCGGCCTGTGTGTCGAGTTCTACGCCAAGGAACCGAAGGTGCTGTGTAGGTATCAGCTTTGACTTTTTTGAGTTGAGTACGAGCCCGGCAGCCTTGAGATCGATAACGACCCATTGGCACGTGGCTTGAGCGTGTGCATGGGTCGGGCACAGGAAGAGGATATCGTCAACGTAGGGTATCACGCGGACCCCCTGCTCCCGCCATCGCCGAGCTAATTGCTTGATGAGCTGCGTGAAGACGAATGGTGCTGTGGCGAGGCCGAACGGCAAGGATCGGAAGGCGTATGTGCGCCCGTCGAATTCAAAGCCGAGGAACGTCCAGCACGAGGGATGGATGTCGACATGGTAATAGCCTGATTTCAAGTCGATGGAGAACATCCAATCTCCTTGGCAAGCGAGGTCCGCTACACGGTTGAGTCCCTCATATTCAAATTTTGGGGACGATTACTATGTCGTTCACCTTTCGGAGATCCAGAATCAGGCGACACTTGTCTTTCTGCTCGACCACGTTGAGTGGGCTTATGCATCTCAGTTTCGCCGCAGGAATTTGGATGGCCGCGCCGGTCTCGGTGAGTTCAAGGATGGCCGTACACGTGAATGCTTCGTGGATGCGTGCGCCAGCATGGTTGCGATCGTGAAAGGCCGGCGGCGGCCCAAGTTTCCATGGCATCCAGTATCCTTTGGCAATGACTGAGAGTATGAAACTGCTAGTGCACCACGAGCTCCACCAAGCGAACGTGGAACGTAGGCGGCCACACATTTGGGTGACCATCTTGTCAGTAACCGTGTATTCGTAGGGATCACTGTTGTGTGCGCATTCGCGAAGTTGGGTGCCAGCGTCGTAGTCGAAGTCGTCACTGTCGTTGTCGGCCGCCGGGGCAGGCGGGATGCTGGCGACGGCGTCTTTGGCGAGGCGTGGCGTCTTGGTTCCGCGTGTGGCCTTTGCAGGTTCTTTTTTAGCAGATTCAGA